GAGCACACTCTGAGCCACGATTGGCTAGTTAAAACCACCTGAAGTTATGCACGTGGAGAAAAAGTCGTACTAAGGCGAGAGGGGTGAGTTCAGAGTTTGTAAAGTTCAAAACAATAGTGACCTCGCCAATAGTGAATACAGACACATCTCTAATACGAACACTTTGTCTCTTCGGTCTCCGTATTAGAGAGGTTTGACTGTACACTGTCGCATTGTTTTAATTGTTCTGATTAGTTATATCATTTATCCATTTGTACATTTGATTTGCCCTTTTGATTTTCTTGTGGTGATTTCATGATTTTGCTAATTACACCTGTCCTGTTTTAGAACCTGTGGTTTTTACTCGATAAACATCATACACCACCTGTGTTTGGAGATGAACAGGTATTAATTTAAGAAAGTTTACTAGATTAAATCAACCAAATATTTTTCAATTATTGCCATTGTAAATGGACTTGTAAACATGTTTTTTCTATCATGTAGCAATATTGCATTGGTACTTGTCTATAAAGCATCTTTTGAAATAGAAATGTCATCATTTATGATTCTGTTTTTTTCAATCATTTTTGGCAATAAAATATCTAGGGATTGTTACCTTGGCTAGTTTGAAGTCATTTTAGTACAATGTTAGTGATAATGTTTAATATTATTTTGTTGCTAACTGAAAGAACTTTGCTTTGTTTTGTTTGTGTGCTGTCGTTTTTTAGATGATCAACTATGAAGACTTCTTAAAAGTTGCTGGAGAGGCTGGTGAAAAATGCAGGTAGTAACACTATACAGTGTGCAAGGAAAATAATTTTGCCTTTTTGCGTGGTAGTTTGCTAAGATATTCTCATTTTTTTTTTTCATGACAGGCCCTTCTTCAGTGCAACTGTTTTTGCCAAATTATTTCAGCAGGATCCTTTTGGGAGGTGAGGGAGTAAAACATCACATAAACATTCCCATTGCCATGACTGATCAAGCATTTTATTTTGAAAAATGGAGAGATTCAACAGATGAATATAAAATTTCTAAGACAAATAAAAGCGTTTTAGAACCAAATGCACAGACCACGTTATCTGTTATCTATTGAAATCAAAATGGTCATGTAAGCAAATGTCTCCCACTGTTGCATATCTTTGTGAAGGTCAAGGAAGAATAGTAAACCAAGGTACAGTAGAATGGAAAAATGTGCAGTGTCAAAGCATTTAATTTATCAATACCAAGTGCTATTTAAGGCAACTTTTTCATTTGGTTTCATAGGCACTTTAAATACTACACTCAATTGTACAGTGTAGCTCAATAGTTTTGAGATCATAATGCTGAAATAACTTTTTTTCTATAAAATTTCTTTTATCATCACTTCTAAAATTTCAGGATCTCTATCATGCAGTTTTTTAACTATGTCATGCGAAAAGGTAGGTTGATAAAGCAAAGCTGTATTGAACCTATTGTTATAATGTGGAAGCTAAAAACAGTGCATGCAGATTACAACTGGCCAAGTAAATTAGTCTTTCCTTTTCAAAACAAAGAGCTGTGGGTAACTATCATTGTAAATACGGAAAATGTACTTTAACCTTCTGAAAAACAAACAAACAAGGCTTAGCCTAGTAGCTTCATTTTCCTGTTGGCGATAGTCAGCATTTCACTACATCACTTTGATTATGAATATGAGTCCAACATAGTGTGACATAGCTTACCGTACCGTTTGTACCTCATTGGCTGTAGCACATAATTATCCTGGGCTGATTATTTTTCAATACTAATAAGCATTTTATGACACAGTTTGTGTGGAAAATGGTAAGGGAATGAAATGAATTTTTAAAGATTAGTGAATAACAAGGCATTTTAGGGGGATGATAATGTTTAAATTGAATCCCACATTGCCATTACAGTATCTGAGTTTGGACTTTTCTTTTCAGTTTGGCTTCATCAAACCAGAATAGGCCTAAGTCTATATGATGTTGCCGGACAAGGATACCTGAAAGAGTCGGTAAGCTTGCAGTAGTTTGTGTGATGGTTGTGAACTAGTGGAAACTAGTAATCTAAGCAAGTGTATTCTGAAAGTTAGTTACTCAGTGTTCTTGAAGTTTTCCAATGACAGTTTAGAGTAATGAAAGTGGTATTTATCACACTGAGAACAGCTGTATTCTTCTTGATAAACTAGAGCCATAGTTTTCGGAAAGTAGAAATTATCTCTAAATTAACATGGTGTGCTGGAAATCAGCACATTTCCTTCTGAGTGTTCAAAGTCCTGGGAAGGAAATGGGGATTACATGTTGAGGTAAAGAAAAATTATTTGACGTCATTGGAATTCAAACCCATTACCGCTGGAATAGATCACTGTAAGTTGCTCTATTGACTGAGCTAACTAGTTGGTATGCATGATCGCTTGATGGTTTGATTGTTGGGACTTTCTATGGTTAATTGATCTGTTTCTTTCGCTTTTTCAGGACCTTGAAAATTACATACTGGAGTTAATTCCAACATTACCACAGGTATGACAACTTGATTAAAAATGATAAATTTATACTTAAGTTAGGAAAATGGTTCTATGCTTGCCGGACCTTAGCGTGGCATAGGCTGGTTGTCTTCTTTGTTTTCTGTGGGTCAGGGAACTGAATGTTGAATATACATGTATATTGCCAGTACAGCAGAAATGATGGTAATATTGTGAAGAACAGCTCCTGAAACAACCTGTCAGCTGACTGTTGGCCCTCTGTTGGCCTTCTGTCAGTTGTCTGTTGTCAGTTGATGCCACTCAGAAACCTGGGTTTTTTTTGCATACGTTATTTCTCGAAAACGAAATGCAAATCAACAAAAACAATTACGCAATGATGCTTTTCATGTCAAAACAAGTCAGTCTACCAAAAATTAGCTCTATACGCCCTTTTAGCACGAAAGCCTTCAATTAATCTATTTTTTGTAGATTGTGACCCAAATTGCATTTCCAAATTTAGAATGGCATCACAGTTTGTGATCACAGTCTCATGTGTAATTGCCAGCAGTAAAACATTGTTTTTCTTGCAGTTGGATGGCCTTGAGAAATCATTTTATTCCTTCTACGTCTGTACTGCTGTAAGAAAATTTTTCTTCTTTTTGGACCCTCTCAGGACAGGTGAGGAAGTAGTGAAATTTCTTCATTGATCTCTATTCCTTTTCATATACCAGTAATGTCTGCAAACAAGGAAAGTAATGCTAGTTTGGAAAATTCTTGGTCTCAATATGTAAATTGCAGGTGCAGGTCAAGTGCCTCAGTAATGTCAGAAGCCTGGCGATGCACTATAACCCAAACGTCCTGGTTGTGGCTAGAACTTCCTGCAACCTAGCCGTGAGCTCCCAGCTACATGTAGCATGCACACACTCACACATGCAATGAATGATATTTCAGCAAAAGAGCTGAATAAAAGGCTCTGTTGGGAACACAACAAAAATGTGTAAGCCTGGCTACTCACTAACACCATGCTCAAAGATAAGCCAAGCTACAAGCATACAGTGTTCAGCTGAGTGAGTCTCACTAATGTTCAGCCCTTTCTTTTGTACAGGAAAGATCAAGATTCAAGACATCCTAGCTTGTAGTTTCCTGGATGATCTCCTTGAGGTATGCTATTAATTAATCAATCAATCAATCAATTAATCAGTCAGTCAGTCAGTCAGTCAATCAGTTAGTCCATCAGTCAGTCTGTCTGTCCATCTGTCAATTCTTCTGTCCGTCTGTCAGTTCATCAGTCTGTCAGTGAGTCAATCAAATGCCTTTGTAAGCACGAACATGTGATGCTGGAACATGCTCTAATTGGGTGTCAAACGTGGCATGATTGTTCATCAAACATTTGAAGTTTAGCAGACTGTAGCGCAAACTTTCGTGTTCAAAGTTCAGCACATGAAATTGATCCTGACTTGTGTCAATATGCACGCGCCTTTTGCGAAAGTGGTTTTACTTCTAGTATAGCCATGAAATATTGGCAGGGGCAAGACTTTCAGAGTTTTTCAGAGTGCAAATGTTTGCATTGCAGTCTGCTAAACTTCAAATGTTTGATGACCAATCATGCTCCCTTTTCCACCCAATTAGATCATGTTTCGGCGTCGCATGTTCAAGCTTAGATGCAAGCAACAGTGAAAAACTCAATAAATCAGTCAGTCAGCCCATCAGACATTCAATCAGTCTGTCTGTCCAGCTGTCCATCAGTCAGTCAGTCAGTCAGTTGGTTTGCCACTCAATCAGTAGTTTCAAATTTAATATTTTTAATGTGATTACCATATCTCAAGTTTGTTCTATTAAGATTGTTTTGTATTGTTTGGTTGTAGCTGAGAGATGAAGACTTGTCAAAAGAGCAACAAGATGCTAACTGGTTCTCAGCCCCGTCAGCACTTAGAGTTTATGGTGAGAAATGCTCATAATACATGCATGTATTCAACAAGGAATAATGCAATGTTATTATACCAGTAAACCATGTGATATGTTCTGTCACCATCGAACTAACAAAGTCATTCCTATATCCATCTTTCTGGAGGACAGCAGAAAATAATAACATTCATGTTTACACTCTCATGGGTCCCAGTATTCTAACTTCTTGATGATGTTGCTTTTAACTGACAGAATCAGTATGAATTATCTTCAAAGTAATATGAATTACAAATACTTGGTGATGTGTTATACACAAGTTAGAATAATGGTAGCAGCAGCCTTATGTTTCCCCCTCGATTGCAGTGGCAAATCCAGGCTTTGAGCTAAGGCAGCGGGGAGGGGGGGGGGTGTTTTACTTGCCCTGCTGGCTTTTCTTCCTTCAGTCATTTCTTCTTTTTTCACCCAAAATAAGGGGGGGCCCTCCATTAGATCCACCACTGGTATCCCTGCAGTGAACTNGGGGGGGGGCAGGCCCCCTGGGCCCCTCCCCTAGATGCACCACTGGGTTGTTTCATGATATTCTGCAAAAGTTGCTGATAATCTTTTTATCATTATTTTTGTAGGTCAATATTTAAGTCTTGATACTGATCACAATGGAATGTTGAGTAAGGAAGAATTGGCAAGGTAATTATTACTCACAAGGATATAAAATTAGTTTGTATTATTTATTTTTAGATTTTTATTAGTAGATTTTATCACCTTCTCACTCATATTAAATATTTTTGCTTTATAGATATGGTTCAGGAACATTAACAAAGGTTTTTGTGGACAGGGTGTTTCAGGAGTGTTTAACTTATGATGGAGAAATGGTCAGTATCCTAACTGTCAATTAAACCATCTGTTAACAACTGCCTTGCAAAGTGGTGCTTGGGTGCCTGAGGCATCCAGGAGCTTCCACTATTAATGGAGACCGCTCCCATGGCTGGCAAATCCTGGCAACCTAGCCATGAGCCCCCACGTGGAAGGGAGAAAGCAGGCACCCGTCACACTGATGAAACAGCGGAAAGAGAAGGGAGGGACAGGGGAGGGGAAACAACCTCTGAGCAGAGTCCCTGTGCTTGAGACTCAGATGCTTGAGGAAAGCGCTGACAATTGTAAAACTACTTGAACACCTTGTGGCCCAAGAGCATGTGGAAACCTGGCACATGCGCAGATCTAAATGCCCACTGACTGCAAAGGCAAGACTTGTGCTCCTTGTTGTTAACTCTGTTAAATTGCATTTAACTGCGTTGTATTTCATTACGATAACAAAACAAAAATTTGCCCAGCCATAATGATTGTAAATGTTTTACATTATTACACCAAAGAACTCTTTGTTTTGATAGCCAGTAAAACGTCTGGTGTACTTCGCACTTTAGTAACAGTATACAATGTTACGTGAGATATAGCCTGTAAAAACAGCTTACGAGTTCTCATTGTTGCTGACTGATGAGAAGATGGCGTGACTGTATTATTTTGCATTTGTATTGAGGTTTTACTATTAAATGAAAATTCTTTGATTAAATCAAAGTATTTTTGTTCATTTAGGATTACAAGACATACTTGGATTTTGTCCTTGCATTGGAAAATAGAAAAGAACCACAGGTTAGTGTATGGCTTTGTCTAAGGCTGAAGACAATAAAAATATTATTAGTTACTGAAGGGGAAAAACCTGTTTTTAGCCTGCTTACTTACAACGTGCTTTTCTTTTCAATGTTTATCAGGCTTTGCAGTACATGTTTAGAATCTTGGATGTTCAGGTATGTTTGCAGTATAAGGTGTACAGAACATATTAATTTCATTTTTTAAATAGATTTGTGAAGGTTTTGTTCAAAAGTGCTAAGATGGTGCAAGATAATAGCCGGAAGTATTCAAGTTTGTCTTGCTGTGTCCAAAATGGTATCTAATAGCAGACTTTCAGTGATTTTTTTGCCAGAAAAAGAAAGCTTTAATCTGAGAATGAAATAGATACTATAGATACACTTCTCCATCAGCATCATCTCAGGGCTTGAATTCCAGCTTGCCCTTTGGACAAGTAGCTCTCAAATTTTGCTTTCCCTGGGAAAGTCTTAGTTTGCTCTTTTAATGATTTAGTTGGCAGTTGACTTGCTTGATCCCTTGCCCATAGGGCAAGTGAGAATGAAAAGTTACTTGCCCAAAAGGAAAATCTACTTGTCTGGGACAATGGGATGGCACTTTTTTCAAGCCCTGCATCTTAGGAAGTTATCAAATGTTGGAATCTTAAGTTTTTTCGTTCCAGGATTAAAATTAATATTAAAACTTTATGTTCCTTCATTTCAGGCTTTGGGGCATCTGAACATCTTCTCATTAAACTACTTCTTTAGGGTGAGGTTTTCAATTGTTGATTTATAACTACACTGTTTCCCAACTGTAATCCATTAAAAAAACTTATTTTGCTCTATTAAAGAACTCTACATGTCTTTTTAAGTTGCCTCTCACAAATTTTGTTTGAATCTTTCACAAAGGAAATTCAAGAGGAGATGAAGAAGCACGGCCATGAACCAGTGAAGTTTCTTGATGTGAAGGTAAACAATATTAAATACTACTTATTAACTTATGTCCTGATAATTAAATAAAGGAATGCTTTGTATAACTTATTGTTATGTTACTAATTGATTATCAAATACTCAGCTCACAATAATGAAACTAAAGACCCAGGAACCATGTTTCCTCAAAGCCAGCTTTGACTTGTGTCAATAAAGCACTCCACCAAAAATTGTATGGCAGTGATGTCTTTTGTCTTGCAGGATGAGATTTTTGATATGGTCAAGCCTACAGACCCTTACAGGATTAGTCTACAAGATCTTGTTAACAGGTCAGTGAAGTATATAGAGCTTGATGTTGCAACCGCTGGGGTCACCAATGCAGCCAATTTTTTTCACTGGCGACTAACTTTTCACTGAAATACTTTTGCTGGTGACTAAATCTGAAAACTTAGGGGCTAGCTGGTCCCAAGGTTTTTTCCTGAAAGTTGAACCCTGGTTTACAAGTGTTATCTCTTTAAGTGACTTCAGCACTGTAGCCTGTTACACAGGCCAACTTCTGTGAAATTTTTCATACAATTTTGTTGCACAGTCAGACACACAATGCATCAAAAATTGCTTGGCGTAATTCCCCTGGAAACGAACATCTGGAAATGTTTCTTTGCAGGATAACCCTTTTTTCAATGATTACAGGAACAGTGTGCTCAGTGAATTTAGGTGTTTAGTAACATCTCTGGCACTCTACAACTTGCCTTGCAATAACATGACACAATTGCTGGCCAAGTTGCTTGAAACGTTGCTTTAAAACATATTTTCAAAATATCACAACATTGCAGTTTATGGTAGATTTTCAAGAAGTACACCACAACTACTGTAGGCATATGACAGTTTCATGTTCAACTAATACAATCTTTAAGACGTAGACGAGATTTTCCTTGTCTCTAATCAAGTTATAGAAACAGGAATGAAGGTTGGGAGAACAAGAAAATGGTGTGGGAACGTGGGCCACAGCCGAGTGACTCCACAGCATTTTTGAGTTCTCCCAAGCTTTCACAAGTGTTTCTACAGTTTGATAAAAACAAGAGAGGATGTTTTCTTTTTCTTTAGTGCCACTTTTTTGATTATCTTAATGTTATTTCTCTTTGCTCACTATCACTATATCAACACTTAGTGTTAAAATTGTTCTGTGTTTCTTTATGCCTTCGGTATAAATCTACTAGCATTCTATCATGAATGCCGTTCTCTGATTGGCTACGCTACTCCCCATCTATTCTGAGATAGACAGTGAGTAGCGTAACAATGTGCCCTTGTTAACAAAGTTATTATGGCCGCTTCTTGGCGTTTTTTAAGTGTCCTTGAAGAGGATTTAGATAAAGAATGACTGGTAGGTTTATACTAAAACAATTAGATTATTTGCTCTCAATTTTCTAATTGTTTAATTGTAGTATGCCTTTAAGCAAACACTTTCCAGTAGGATGTTTTCTAATATCTTTTATCAGTGGCCAAGGAGAGACAGTGACAAGTATTCTGATTGACTTGAATGGCTTCTGGACTTACGAAAACAGAGAGTTGCTGGTACAAGATGTGAATAATGAATAAAAAAGATCAGTCTCGCACCACTGCTGAAGTTCAAATCAGGATTGAGCCAACCCAGGATTAGTGTAAACTTTAAAAAAAATTGTTAAGTTATCAGCAGTGCTTTCAATAAGATCTGGGACTTGGTGGAGCTCTGGCAGGTGTGCTGATGTGAATTGCCATCTACATGTATGAAGATGGAAGTCTGCAGTTTTGCTTCTGTTAACTCTTAATCTTGGATACGTATTGATCAGCTTTTGAACAACAATGAACCTTGGGCGAATTAGAGGCATATTTGTACAAAGTAAAATCATTTAAATAAATATATTTCACACTATTGTAATTTAACTACTGTTTAATCTTTTTTGAAAATCGAGACCTTGTTTTTGGTTCATACATGGAATTGTATGACAACACCTTAATTTATTTGCTTGTTACAATGAAATAATATACTTCTAAATTTTAGCATCACTAAACTACGTTGTGGCTTGGAGCTAGCAACTGAAAATCTTGTTTTCTCTCTGAAACAAAACAGATATTAACCCTCATCTTTGTGTGTGTTTATTAGGTTTGCTAACAAAATGGTCTCCTTAGTTCTTTTGCCTGCACTTTTTCCCCTTCCTTAATTTCCCCTTTAGCTTTTACAGATCATTGCAACAAGGACTGAAATTTCTAACATGTGCAGTGTAAATTTGTACCTTTTTTCTGCACTCTATTATTTTCAGCGTACTGCTTACAAATGGCAAATACAGACATGTATCAAGTTCAATGTGGAATGTAAACCACGTACCGAACCAGTGAATTAACCAGCCATTATCCTTTATTGTATCATGCACAGGTCAAAACAAAACCATGCAATTTACAGTGGATTACTTTGTGTACACAAACAGAAACTGAAAAAGTCAAATTAAATTTGTTGATCCCTAAATTTTTTTTTTTTTTCACAACTGACATAAATGACCTGTATGCAATGTCTTACTTCTCTTCTGCTCACTTTAACTATTTCTGTACTATGTCTTTGATCCATCTTGAACTATGTATTTAATAAATTTAACAGTCAAATTCTGTGAGTGAAGTACATTTACAATGTATCTTCACAATGAGGATAAAGTGGACTCCACCAATTAATTACTTTGACATCACATGCTGGATCTAAAACCACAGTAGTTCCATCTTCCTTTCTATATCTGCCATCACTGCGTGGTGAGTGGAATGTCAACTTGATGCTATTGTGTTTCATATCGTGACTTATGCCTACCAAGGCTTTAGTCAACACATGACCTTGCACTGGGTACACTGGCACAAAATTGACGCAATTAACTTGAAGAATGCAGTGATTTTCTTCAGGATTGTCAGTCAAGTCGTCCACTTGCGCAAACCATTTCTGAGAAAAATAACGTGGTTTTCTCTTTACATGAGTAGCTTTCTGGGAAAACTTGAAATAAAACACCCAGACTTTTTTAGTTTGCTTATTGCATAGCACCTGCTTGTACCACATTGATATACACATGTGCGACTCTAGTATGCTTGGATCCCGTAAACTACTGTATGACAAAATCCGGCTTCTGAATGGCTCATACCCATGGAACAGAGCTCTTATGATCCTAGCACGCAATCCAGGACGGCATTCAATCGTATCTGGCTGGAGCCTTTCAGGTAGCTTCTTTGGCTGAGTAATGTGACGGTTGTAAAGTCTTAGCCAAAATGTCCGCATGTTTGTAGCTTGTCTTGCTCCTTTACAGATCAGTGCAAACTTCTGGACATGTTCAGGACAGATGTACTTGGCTAACAAACACCACACATCTAATGGGTATATCAATCCACACTCACTAGATTCATCACATGTAATATTATCTTTCTTCTTGTTCTTGGACCGTTTTGATCTTGACATGGTTTTTTCTGCTGATGACTCAAGTTCATCTTCTTCAGCTGATAGCGAGTCAAAGTCTGTTCTGTCATACCAGGGAATCATGTTCTCATTCTCAGCTTCACCGACCATAGCTGCTGCAAAAGAAAAATAAGTACAAACAGTCAAAGGCTGTGAATGACTGTATTAAACATTTTAAGGTCTGAGGTCTAGATAGGTCTTGCTTATGCACCACAAGGAACACAGTTATTTCTTCAAAGCTGTTCAACTCTAGTTGTTTACCACTGTTTACAGAACAAAAGCCAACTTTTTTATTAGCAGTACACAGTGGGAGGTACAGTGGCCTCATGGTTGGTGTGCTCGTCTCCGAATCAAGTGGTCTGGGTTTGAACCCTGGCCGGGGCATTGTATTGTGTTCTTGGGCAAGACACTTTACTCTCACATGTCTTTCTCTGCGCAAGTGGATAAATGGGTATTGCCAAATTTAATGCTGTGGCAACCCTGTGATGGACTAGCATGCCATGTAGGGGGGAGTAGAAATACTCCGAGCTAGAAATACTCCGAGCTACTTCATTCTACAGAAACTGGGATAAGCTCTAGCCTAATGGGCCACTTGGCTCATATACAGACTTAACCTACCTACCTTAGCAGTACACATTGACAAGATGTAGGGAATATCCTTACAGTGTTAAAAGACCTATTTTATTTTTTCATTCTACAATTAAGTAGAATATTTATTAATTTAGCAATGTTGTTTACTCATAGCTAAGTCATGCACAACATGTGTCATACCTGCACTCATTGAAAATCCTCTTGATGTCCGTCTAAGTGCTTCCTTTGCATCTTTCGCATTAGCAAAGTCTTCAATGGCCAGATCTGGAAAAAGACGATCGGCTTTACTTCTTGTCAGTCAGTTGATGACTGATGGAGAGTAAAAATGGAGTTTCCTGAATTGTTTTTGGGCAATCGATTTATACACCAGTATTACCCGGACGATCACACTCTACGAACTACTTATACACCAGTATGTAGTTTAATTAACAGCTGCCATTTTGAGATGTCCTTTACAAGGCTCTAGTCAGCCACACCTTTGTTTTTGTTTACATGCGAGAGTTTGGTTAATAAGCTTATATTTTATTTGGAGCGTGTTGAAACCAAGGAAATCACTGTGAAACTACCACAGATAATTAAACATACTTTCAGAAACACAACTTACAGTAAACTGTAAAGCAATAAGATTTCGCGTCACCATGCATTATCAATAATTTCGATGGCATCGAAAATGGCGGAGGCTGCTAAGGGTTCTGTAAGCTTACATCAGTTCTTCGATTGTTCTTTGTGTCCCCAAATTAGTATGGGATTTTACAAGGCTACAAGGCATTGACACATTAATAACGTTTCTATCTATCTTTCTATCTATAATTGAGCTTACTAAGACTTCAAAAAAAGAGCTTCTAAAGACTTCAACTCGCACTAGTTATAGTGCTATGTGAAGATTTTTTGCCATGTTAACCTAAAGACGCATAGGCCATTTGTGATTATTTGACTTGTTAATGTATCACTACAGAGTATGTAGAGATACAAAGACCCCAAGCTGC